TCTAAAACAGGAGGCTTGAATTTTTCTCAGGCCAGAACTGATCCAAACTGATGGACAGATAGAGCAGGGAACCCTAAAATACTTAAATAAAATTCTGTTTTATAATAAACGTATAAATGTATCTTGGTATTTAGCATCATATATTTATGCTTGTGTTTTACATGTAGAATATCTGTAATATATAAAATAAAAAAAAATATATATAATAATCCAAAGTACTGTAGGGGTTGCTGACCCCTGTTTCAATGATGACTGGACGTGATTCACGAGGCTCCATAATTTGAGAACAATCGGACTAAATTGAACAGATTATTCTTTCTGAGCCGCATCCGTCACACAAGTGTGATTTGAGATTTTAATTCACAAGTGTCAATAAAAATTATGGTTATGATCTTTTGTCGGCTCCATTAAGGGCCTTAATGGCCAGCGCCGGTGATATTTCCTAATTATTTTTCCTTATGTGTCAAGACAGTGGAATGAAACAAAGAAAATCTGAAATGTGGACGTGTCACTCAGCTTGACATGTAAAGACAAGTTGGACTTTGCCGTGTGTGTGTGAAATATTGGGCGGCTTTATGTCAAAAGACGTTTTGTCTAGAGTAACACCAACCCTGGCGCCTGTGCACTTTGCTTTGCTCCAAGTTTGAGGCATAAAAGGAGACAAAATGAACCGAGACTTGAGAAACAGCACTCAAGCCATTTATGTACAAATACAATTTTCCAGAATTTGAATAATTCCGATATGATGGGGGGCTATAGGGAAGAGGCTTTTTATATTAAAACCCTAGATATTATATATTGATATATGCATTTAAACCGCTTATGATCTGATAGTGAGACTTCAGGGGTTTAAAGCAGCTGATGAAGAACTGATTGGAGGTGGAGATTATTGAAGCAGGTGCAGCCTCTCAGAAAACATAGGTAAACATATGTGCACATAAACAATAATGCTCACCAGACCTACACACACACACACACACACACACATCCAAACCAAAAGTCAGCTTTAACCACACAACTCCCACATACAGCACACACCAGTGACAGTGTGCAGAGGAAGTAGCAGGGTAATAACCAGTGTAAAGCCGGAAATCCCACTCTGTGGGTGGAGGCTAATGAACAGTGAGGGAGCAGCAGCAGAAGAAGAGTGTGGACGCCTTATCAGGCCACAAGTCAAACCAGAGCAAAGCTGCAATTAGAAGAGTTTCGTAAAAAAAAAAAAAAAAATTGGTTCGAGTTTGGTACATGCTGGTGTATTGACATCAGGGTTTTCTGTATATATTAATTACCTGTATATTATTTATGTTTTGATGGAAATGTATCCAATATTTGGTTTGGCACAGACTTTGATGCCTTTCCTGATGGAACCGGCACTAGGAGGAAACAGGATGTGGCCCGTGTGAGACAGAGTTAGACATACTGGACTGTGTTCATGTGACGATGAGTGAATGAAAATATTGGACAAAGGATGATGGAGGTGACGCTGCCTTACAGGAGATAGAGCAGGAGATCATGAGGATTGATGCAGTGATGGAGATTATAACTGCAACAGAGAGGATGGGTGAGGTGGGGGAGAGTGGGGGGAAGTTTGAAGGTTAAAAATGCTTTAGCTATTATTATTATTATTTATGCTGGTTACTTTATTAGGTGGCCATTAATGCAGCCTCCAACCTTTTATCTGCCCTGAAGTAGTTTTTTGTGACCTTTACATTGACCTTTCATGTAACAGGCCATATTTATCTTATGGATTTAAAAAAAAGGAAAGTGCAGTGCATGTAAAGGAACTCGATTTCAGTCATTAGGACAAGTCAAAGAAGAACAAAATGTTGCAGTGACATTGAAAGCATTGGTAGCAAAATATTGTCTTGTTTTGTGTCATGAGTGTGAGAATAGAAGCTGAAGAATGTCTGCCCCCCCTTCAGCTCCAGCCCCAGGGTTTTTGAAAAATGCAGCCACTGAACAATATAGTTGGATTTTCCTGCCATTACAATGAACAGGAAACAGATTTCGAATTTGAATGTGAACAGGCAGCGTCCACGTTCAAAACAGCTTCCCATTGGATGGTCACCCACTGTGCTTTATTGACTAGTTGCCTCTAAACAGGATCATTATTACAGAAAACAGACAACTGAGAAATAGTGACAGTGACCATTAGGCCACAGTTTACTTTAACATTACTACTAGTTCAAAACTTAATTGTAATCATTGGTTTTGAGGTATTGAACAAAAAAACAACTAGTGCTGTCAAATGATTATTTAATACATTAAATAATTAAAAGATTAATCATTATTAATATCATCTAGTCGTGATCTGTTTATTATAGAGGAAGAAATCTGTATATTGCTCAAACAGAAAGACTAAAAAGTATAAATAGAAAATGTAGCTTCTTTTGGGTGTTGGGATGATATTTTCAGCCTTGTTCCTGCAGTGTGTGTAAATAACAACGTGCATCAACTGTGTATGAAAGCTACACTAAGGACGTATAGTGATATTACTGATATACAATTAAGTGCTTGTTATTTCACTCAATCACTGCCATATAAATTTTAATTTGATCATTTTCCACTAAATGACCTTAGTTAATGCGTAGAAACCTTGTTTTTCCATATTAAAAAAACGATTTTAATTTGATCATTTTCCACTAAATGAATGACTTTAGTTAATGCGTAGAAACCTTGTTTTTCCATATTAAAAAAACGATTTTCTTGGTAGTGGCGCACTACCAAGAAAATACCTTGTGTTCTATAAGTAATGGAAATGGTGCATTGAAGTGCACTCTTTATGCTACTTTGTTGATTAGTTTTACATAAGCACGCCTCCCTGGGACTTCTGCTCTCTGAAGCCTGTGCAAATTCCAATTTATGCAAATCACATCTGTTCATTTGCTTTTGGTATTTGACTGTGATGACCAATAATCCCTGCTATGTGACACTGCATTGTAATCCTGCCCCAGGTGCTAATGTGGTTGCACTCATGTGAGGAGGGGCCGCGGGTTAGCTTAAAGCCAGGGGCATCAACACATTCCCACATGACCACACACACACACACACACGGAGTCACACTTAACAGTGCGGCCAGGGCTTAACAATCAATGAGACGACAAAGTATATTTTCAAACAAAGCAGTCGTGCTTGTAGTTTAGACTTTGTGACATAATGTGATGATGAAAATTTCAATTTCAAACTTCTCAAAGAAACCTGAAGAGCCAGTGCGTCACTCATTTCTCCCGTGGTCTCTGCCTGTCAAACCCTCACAGACGGAACAGCCTGTTCCTTCTTGTTCCTTCTGAGAAATAAGCAGCTTTCTGATGATGCAGAGATAACAGATTTTCTTCATCTTAATCTAAATGGAGTTGCTTGTCATTGTGAGCGTGTGGAAGTGACGACAGTGGAGGAGGATGAGAGGAGACAGAGTAGGATGATGCAGGTGATGAAGGGGGGGCTCAGAGAGTGTGCACCTCATCTAACCCACCTGCTGTACGACTCTAACTCTAGATGCACAACTTCAGCTTTGGCCTATTCATAGATTATGTATCTTCAAGATATTGCTATAGAAACAACATTTTGTAGCTCTTGTTTAAAAATAAAATATATAATGACATTTGTAAAATTTATGAGACGAAATATATAATGACATTTGTAAAATTTAAAAAAGTGATTTCCTTCCACTGAATATAAGAGTTGTACATACGGATTTTTTAGTGTATAATAATATTTACATGTGCCACTGAATATAAGAGTTGTACATACGGATCCTTTAGTGTATAATAATATTTACATCTAATCTTATTTTTCCTGCTGGGATTTCTTTTTTGCTCTTCATGGATGACAATACATCCACTAGGTGGCAGTAATGCAACTCAGGAAAAGTCAGCCAATAGAAACCAGTGTTTTGGGAAGGGGGCGGGGTCAGCCAGTCCTTGTTGAAAAGTATTTTAATTGAAATTATTTCTCACAAAATAGGTGTCATTTCTGCCTGTGATTTAACGGTCATTCCAACTTGTATGTATTTCGATGTGATTTCCTGTATCCAGTGGAGAACTGTTGGTCTAGAAAGCTAAACATGTATCGTATCTTTGACCAAGTTACATCCATCTATCCATCAATCCATCCTTTAAAATTTAGGCTGTAAATGGTCATAAAGGGGAGTGATTTATATAAAAATAAATAATGTTCTTTCAGCACTCTGCATTTACAGCCCCCCCTGCAGGGTGAGTGCGATAGGAAACTACACTTCTTTGTTTATAGACACTAACTTTTGGAATGTGTGATGGCTAACCGATTAAAAAAAGAAGAAATCACAGCATGTGAAAGGTTTTATGCTGCCAATATTCAGCTAGTTAGTTGTTTTTATTTGATTATGCTAACAACTGTGACAGCATGTCATTTGGCAAAAGAAATAATGGTAGACATCTGTGAATTAGTCATAAAGAGAACGTGGCCCCGACAAGATTTTGCACAAAGGTGAACTCAACAGAAATATTCCCAGTCAGCAGAAAAATGCTGCAAAGTACAGAGTCAGTAAAAGCAAATGATACATTTCTGAATACATCTGGAAAAACTGTGCAGCAAAAAAAAAGAAAAAAAAAAGAAGATAATTACTGCAGAGGCGGATGTAAAATAACATAACTCCTGTTCCTACTGCAGCACAGAGACTGTTGTTGTATTTCTGTATATCTTGGAGGTGTTTATTTTTTATTGATGCAGTAAAAAGTGACCACTTCAGTAAATCAGAGCCCTCATTGGGTTGGTAACGGTTCAGAGTGGTGCCTGGAGACCTTCCACTGTGCCAGCCATTGATATGATTTACAAGACCTGCAGCAGAGGCTAACTCTGCCCAGTCAACTTTCCACACGCTGTTACATCATCTGTAAGGCTCAATGGGTTAGACAAAACGGTACTTGCGAAGAGTAAACTGATAGAAGTGCACTTTTGGGATCCATTAAAGTTAAAGGTTAATGATCAAATAAAAACAATAGATAAAAAAAACCCAGACCTACCTATGGGCAAGGCGAGGAAGAACGGCAGCCAACAAAGCGTAAACATGCCGACAACTACTCCCAGAGTTTTTGCTGCTTTCTTCTCTCTGGAGAATTTCAGAAGTTTCACCGTGAGGGAACTTCTGGCTTGGTGCGCTCGGCCTTTGCTGGTGCCAGACGCGCCGTGGTCCTCGTGCACCTGAGACCCTTTGTGGATCCTGAGCGTCAGCTCGCTGGAGTTCATCCTCTCCCGCATCACTCCCGCCTCCAGGTTCTTTGTGGTTCGTTTGGCGACTATGTAAACGCGACAGTACATGGCGAGTATGACGACAAGAGGGATGTAAAAGGAGCCCAGGGAGGAGAAGAGCGCGTAAAACGGCTCCTCCGTGATGGCGCACTGCGTGTCGTCCGGCGAAGGCGGCTGCTTCCATCCGAACAGAGGGCCGATGGAGATGACCACGGAGAGCACCCAGACCCCGAGCATGGCCAGCAGAGCCCGCTTCTCCGTCACGATGCTGGGGTACTGCAGCGGGTGGCTGACACCGATGTACCGGTCAATGGAAATTACGCACAGGCTCATGATCGACGCGGTGCAGCAGAGCACGTCCACCGCCGCCCAGATGTCACAGAAGATCCTGCCGAACACCCAGTAGTCTAGGATTTCCAGGGTGGCGGACACCGGCAGCACCGTTGTGCCCAGCAGCAGGTCAGCGATGGCCAGGTTGATGATGAAGTAGTTGGTCGGAGTCCGCAGGTGCCTGTTGCACACAACCGAGAGGATGACGAGGATGTTGCCCGCGATGGCGAAAAGGATGAAGGCGCCGAGCACCAAGCCCAGCGGGATGGCTCGGCTGAGGGCCACCTCGCTGGTGTTGTTCCCGCTGGAGCTGTTGGTGAAGTTGAGCAGGGATGGCACGGCCTGAGTACCATCGAGTTCCGAGGAACCGTTTTTCCAAAAGAGAGTAACATTGTCAGTACTCACACTCATTTTGACTCAGGTTCTCCATAGCAGGCTGTAGATGACGAGTAACTGCAACTCCTAAGAAGAGTTTGTCTAAAAAATACATAAAGTTTTTTGCTTGCTTCAAGTCTGCATGGTTTAATTTAATACATTAGATTCTCCTTAAATCCGCAGCGAGTTGTTGATGACGGAGCGGCGCAGTGAGCCTCCGTGCGCTCCCTCTGTCTCCTCTCTCCTCTGGTCTCAGAGGAGAAGTGAGCGGGGCAGCAGTCATCTCCTGCCTCCTCTCCTCTCCTCCACCACACACATCTCTCTGACCAAACTGACTAAGTACTAACTGTCTGAACACCAGTGGAGTGTATGGCGCGCACATGACGCATCCCTCCGCCAGGATCCGTGGCTCCACAGGCACCGTACACAAAGTGCCTGCATCATTTTACGCACCTTAGATGGAGCAGGGTTCAGAAGAGGCGCCTCTTCTAAAGAGAGGCTTGTAGTTGTTTCCTCTAATTGACAAAAGTGTGCGTCACTGGGCAGTTATTTAAGTGATTCCGTTTAAATTACTGTCTCCTGTCGTTTAGCTTTAATGTCTCCTGGGAGGGGATAAAAAGCCTGGATGGTGGCAATAAAACAGGCAGATACAAAATCCTTTATACTTTTCCATCTGCTGTGAGTACCTACCCCACTCCCCCTGCTAACCGCCCCCCCCTCCACGCCTAGAATAAATTCAATTTATTTCTATGTATAGTTTATGGGAAACGAATTTAAAAATATCTCCATATTTCTGAGTTAACCTAGAAAGGTATTTTAATACCAATAAATTCCTATTTTGGTAAAGTGCACATGTTCCTCATAGTAATCTTATTTTGGACCTGAACTCTGTTAGTGACTGATTTAATAGGCTGAGGTCAGATGGATGCACATTCCTGGGATTGTATTTCCTCGAGTTGAAGTGTATTTGCCTTTATGTAACATAAGTCCAGGAGAATATAACAACCTCAAACACTATAGTTTATTGAAAACCTTGTCTTTTTTCTATTATGAAAAACCTTTAAACATTTTAATTTGCCCATTTTTTTAGATTCTGAACCAAAATGTAGATGTTTTAACAACATTAAAGATAACATATATTGCCCAGGTGTGTATTTACTGTATTTCCTCACAGCTAAACAAGTCCAGTTGCTGCTGACTCACACATTTGGAGAACTGTGACCGTGAATGAGGACAGCCACAGTGATGTAATAAAAATTACATTAAAATAACATTAACAACATCATTTAGAATAGCTGCTGTCAACTAACTCATATTCAACACACCATTAAATACTAAACAAATGACTCATATAAATAAGTAAAACCATTTCAGTGATCCAAGAAAGTTGGAAAGATTAATTAAAATATAATTAATGTTTTATTTTTGGGATGCTGGATTTTGTTCATAGCCTTCAGATGAGCATTAAAAAAACAAGTGTTTATTCATTGGCTGTGTAAAATTAACACTTTATTTTTTTTGACCAGTTTGGCATCAGTTTGTTTTAGGGATTTCCAAAGAATATTTCAGTGGGAGGAAAAAAATATTGTATGTTTTTACCAAGAATATATATATATATATTTTCTTTTATAAGCTCTGAATGTTTGGCTTAAATTCAGAAAGGATACAATATCAGAGATTAAAACATTTCTTAGAATAACAATGCCCCTTTAGGGCTGCAGAGGTATTGCGTGGGGTTGTGAACTTTTTGGTAGATTTGATCCACTGTGGCGATCCTTTAAGAAAAGCTGAAAGAAAAAGAAAAAACACAGGGTGTATGATGTTGTTGTGATGTGAAAACATCTGAGCTGAACTTGTAAGAACTCATGGAACTTGGGTCTCGGTCATTACTTCTTGTTCCAGCACACAAAGACCAGAAAGAATACCTGGAAACTAATATGGTTTCCAGGTAATAAATAATTGTTAGAAATGAAAGGGCAGGTTACGGATTGGCCTGTGAAGCCATGTGAAAAGAATACAGTCCTTTGGACAAAACTCAAGGAGGATGGAAGATCTCAGAGGAGTTTTCCAAATATTTTGAAAAATACTTAATTAAGTAGGAGAAGAATGAAACTGCTGTATTTTATTTTCAATTGAACAAATTATTTTTACGTGAAATGATAGGATGTTAGGAATCCCTTGCTCCATCCCAGGGTAATAATGTTGTTGGTAAATGCTTTTTATAAACAAGTTTCTTGGAAAAACTCCACCAATCATCATAAATGAGTTGAAACATTCCTTCAGACTCTTACAGGTCCTTCAAAGGTCAGTGAGACTGAGGTTCTGAGCGGTGGACCGAGATATTCCTGAATTCTTTTAGTGTGGTGCAGACAGGATTCCTTCAAAGAGGATTAGGAATTTAACTCCTCAATCCTCAAACAGGCAGACACACTAAGGCACCGCAGGAATCTCTCCTCAAGATTAATCTTTTGGAATTATATCACACAACATCTACGTCTGGGTTTTGTTTCTGTCATACCTTCGCCGACCGTTTGATTTGATTGACTTTCCTGAGCTGTCAAAAACAAGAACGTTTCTGCTGCTCAGCTGTTCGCTGCCAAGTTGTTTTAGCTGAGAAGGAATATCATGTCATTCTGGGATGTTTTAACTTGGACAGAGAACTCCTCTGTCCGTCTCTGAGCTACAGCGATGATGAAATGATAATCGTCTCTGTTTACATAACGGGCTAATGGCTTTCTTGACATGTCTGCGTGTTTTAATCAGCAGCTAAATATATGTGCTAATTAATTTCAAATTAATCTTACATTAACAAAGTTATTATTTTATGTTAAAGCCATGGACCAGAGATTTATCTTTATGCTAGTCTGTTGGTGTCTTTATTTGTGTTTAATTGGGACTAAGATTTAAAGTAATTAATTTAATTGATTAATTACAGACAAGACAGAGCATAAAAATGACACATCTAGTCATTTAGCGATCACTTTCTCAGTTCCCTAATTTGTGGCACAGGGATAACTCTGATAATCACACTCCAGCCAGTAGGTGGCGGTAATGCACACAAAGTTTGAACTCCATAAATATCATGTACAGCGCTCCAGTAGGTGGCGGTAATGCACCCAAAGTTTGACCTCCATAAATATCATGTACAGCGCAGGCAAATAAAAACATTTGTGAGCTATGACTGAAAAAGGCTTACAATTTTTTTTTTCAACCTTCAGATTGAAGCTTGGATTAGAGCATATTTTTTCGCAAAGTGAGAAACGTAATACTTTGCAGGGACACCAGACCTAATGCTAGCTAAAACAGTGCTGTTGCAAGTTTAGCCAGCCCACAATGGAACTGATCATTGTTCAGAGCTACAAAAGTCTGTGTATGTCTATTCATTAAATTAACTGTCAGCAAAAAAAATTAAAACGTTGTTAAATGTGTCACATGTTGCTCATTTACAAAAATGGGATTAGTCAGTATTATTTACTTACAAAGCCTTAAATTAAAAACAGCATTCAAGTCCCACCATATATGTCGTTATCTTTTCATAGTGGTAGCAGTAGTAGGTCAGTTCAACCTGGTCAGTGTCCAGATCTTCTGCATTAAACTGTTTGGCTTTGGTCTTCCTGGTCAAATGTTTTTCCTGCTCTAATGTGTTAGCAGATCATAGGTTCAGGTCCCACTTTGACCTTATGATCCGTTTGAGGGCGTGGCCTCAGCCTAGTTTGGTCACGATGATGCCCTGCTCATGGAAACCACATGTGCAGCAGATCATCAGGAGCGACGCTGTGTTTATCATCAGTCTCATAAAGCAGCTTGATCTGTGATAAACCGGGAGGGATGAGTCACTTTGAAGAAGTTTAATAAAAGGTTTGCAGATGAAAGCAGACTATGGTCTGTCTGGAGATCCTTAGCTCAGGTCAAAACACACACTCAGCCTTAAACAGGCTGTTCTTGCAGAACAATGTTATTACTTGGTTCTGTGAAAGTTTTATTTGGACATGGTGTACATGAAAACCAGTCTGATGGTCGGGCAGCAGGTCAGCGTTTTACTGTGTCGTCAACCTGTAACACAATGTTTTTGAGTTGAACGATAACAATGTGTTGTGTTTTTATGGAAGGGATTTTAGTGCTTTGTGGTAAACATGGACCAAATGTCAGAAATGGACCGGCCCATCTGGTTCCAAGACAAAGACTAGATTAAAAACCTTGTGATATTCTAATGACATATTGCTGTTCCTGTTGTGTTTTTGCCTTTTCAAACAAGTGATCCTGGAGACAATAAAGTAAAAAGAAATTGAAAATGCCTTTGAGGTTTTGAAAGTTGGATACCATTTGAACTTGTCTGGGTCATGTACTGTAGGCCACATGTATCCATCACCTTTACCCCAGGAGAATCAATTTGAATGTGTTACCTTGTCCAGTGAATAATGACGGTGGCAGTGATGGTGACACAGCTTTGGAGCTGAATGCCGTTCGCTCTGGGTTCAAAGTGGTCCTCATAACTGGAGAATAATGGGCACCTTGGATGTTAACTGCTGTTCCAGGGACACGTCACGTGCACAGCTTGATTTGAACTCAGGCCATCTGGGTGGAAGAACAACTTCCTACCCTGTGATTTAAAGCAGACCCCAGTTCCCTCTTTGCCCCCGTATGAACTTTACCAAACTGATTAACGAGACTTTTGACATTTTGGTGCGTTTGGTGACAGGATGGTTTCTCATTATAGTTGCTTTTTTCCCCTCATTGTAGTTGTTTTTTTTCTCAGGGGTTACAGTATTGCCCTCTCCTGCAGATGGCGTCCTTAGCAATCTCTCATTTCGGCTATGCCAAGATGACAACATCCCCATCTGATAACATTATTATTAAACAATGAACCAAAAATAAAAACATCAACTTTTTATAGTTGTAGTTTAATTTGAGAATATAGTCTGATGAAGACTCTGGGTTTGACACCATTTCGTCCCCCAGATCTCTGGTCAGTTTGTGTCAAACAGGACATCTGGTGCTAACAGTGATTTTGCTGACCCCTGCTGTGCTGAGCCGCTGATGAAACAAACAAGCTGAAAGTGATTCTTTTTTTCACCAGCGAGTTCAACAGACCATTCAGATATTGTTCTTCCCACAAGTCATTTCTCTCACCAAACATTCAAACAGGACATCTGGTGCTAACAGTGATTTTGCTGACCCCTGCTGTGCTGAGCCGCTGATGAAACAAACACCAGCGAGTTCAACAGACCATTCAGATGTTCTTCTTCCCACAAGTCATCTCTCTCACCAAACATTGATGATGATGTGTAATATGCAGAGGCACCGGGGCTGTTTCTTTGTTTAGGAAGTGATTTTTGGAATTGCCATAAATAGACTTGGGTTACAAAGATAAGCATTTTAATCAGTTTGTCCAAGTGTTGTGCTGTTAACACATCCAGGCTCGTGTGGTGGAAAGAATAACATGATACACTGGTTCACGCCAAAGCACAAAGGTTTAGTTCTTGTGCAGTTTGTGTCGATCTTCTATAGTAAGTTCACTTTCAGCAGGTTTTCTTCTGTCCAAAATAATACACTCCAGATAGGGACGAACAAAAGCATCGGTTTTTGTAACTTCCTGTACCACTTCGGATATCTTAAACCTGAAAGAAGCTGTAGTCCTCAATAGGTAGACCCCCCCCTCCCCCCCCGCCCTCCTTTCTCATCCATTCAACAGACAGT